CCCACAGTTTGAGAACCTCTGCTTTACATAGATGTAAAATCTGTTTGTGTTTTTATTTCACCAAATATTTAAGTGAATGCTGATTGGAATGATTTGAGTTTTTTTCCCACCATTTCATTTACAAAAGAAGATGGTTCCACACTATCCTTCCAATTCATAGCCAGATTTCACTTGCCTGGGCAGCATCATAATGTTTTGCTTGATGCCAATAATTTGTCCCTTTGGATTAAAAAAAAAAACAAAAACAAAACTGCAACTTCAGAATGATTCTTGCATCATGGTTGTTTGCAAACAGCACGGACCGGAGCCTGTTCAAGTTACCATAGGTGATTTTGAACCATTCACTGCACTTTCATTCGAAATTTTGAAAGAAAAATAAAAAGTTTTGGTGCTAGGATGAGGTAGTTTTACTTGGTTGTATTGAAAATTGGTTCATTTTACAAAACTGCAATGGAAACACTGATGTTTCCATTGGCGTAAACCACCAAGAACACGACGACAGTCACAACCCAGTTCTTTGGAGCGAACCATGATGACGCCTAGTGGGCCGCTCAAACTGCAGACAAAGAAACAACAAGCATGGCAGTATCTTCCACTTTCTAGTACGCTCTTCTAGGTTGTGTAACCCCAACTGTTGATGACGCATGCTTGGTTCACAAAACGGTTTTGAACGGGCATCAACTCTCAACCAAACACTCAGCGTTCAGAGGTTCTTTAACCTGTTCTAGAATGACTCTTTAATCTGTGAAAATTAGGGCTGAAATGATTAAACGTGATAAATCAATTTGTAAAATTATCGTCAGTCAATTTAATAATCAGTTCATTATTAACTGAAGTGCCACCTGCTGAAAGAACAATACAGTAAGAGCAATACCTAAGCCAAAAATTGTGAAAAAAATATACATTTTGCACTTAAAATAAAACAAAAAAATATTTTTTGTAAATATGTTCTGTGGTATAGTTTTAGCTTCACATGTGTTAAATTGTGCAAAAAATCCCCCAAAACTTCCTATCAAGCATCCTTTGCTATTAAATTATTAACTGTCCAATTCCAAAAAATAGTCAATCGATGTTTAAATGCTAAGTTGATTAGAAACTGCTTTCTTTCAATTTTCGCATTTTGTTATATTAAGAATTTTTTTTGCTATATGCATCCTTTGCAACAAATGGTCATGTGTACACTAAAGGAATGCTATGTTTTTACATTTTAGGGAATAATATGTGTATTTTCTTATTTGAAAAAAGAATGAAATTATATGTTTAATAGCCTCTTTCAATGTATTTCTAATATTGTAAAAAAGCTAATGAAAAATCTGCAGAATGTGCCAAATTTTGTATCCGTTTGGAACAAAGTAGTGATTTATAATCCAAAAATAAAGGTAATCTCAGATTTTTAAGAAAAAAATGTGTGTTACGATGACAGTTATTGATTTTTGAACACACAGACACTCATTTTTACATGACATGTAAACAAAAGTATATTTTTAAATGGGAACCCAGCAGAAAAGGCTTGGAGTGGAGCTGAATAAATCTGGGCTCAGGCAGAGCTGCTGGTACTGATAGAGGGGTGGGGATCCCACACCATCTCTGTGACCTTCTGTCCCACAATCCATCAGGGCGTCAGAGGCTTCATGGCCCCATGCCAGGATGACAAATCTGCCTGTCAGCTGAACACAGTCCAGCATGACAACCTGACATTTTACGCGCTCAGATTATCTTTCAAACCTCGACACTTGGAAGAAGACGTGACATTCACTACCGAGTACAGATTTAGAGGTACCAAGAAGGGACTTTTTTTTTATACATGTTTACTAAAATTGTTAAGCACTGTCAAATTTATTTAAGAAATTTTTCAGCAAAATATATTCCTTTTGTGGAAGAGAATCAAGTGTGGCCATGTACAATATCTGTTAAATATGAAAAGAATGAAAAGGGTATTATCTTTTCACAAATAAACTATAAGAAGAAATGACAAGAGTAATTTGAGAAACATAACATGACTTTTTGCCTGCAGAATGTAATATTATCTCTTAACAAGGATTCTGTATAGTCTTTATTGGCTTAACATAATCATAGACATAACATAAAGTTTGTAGGAGAAAAATGTTTTTAAAATGTTTACTTGTATTTTAAACTTTTTAGTAAAAGAAGCTGACAGCCTAGACAGCTGTCAGCTTCTACAGCATATAGCAAAAAAAATTCTTAATATAACAAAATGCGAAAATTGAAAGAAAGCAGTTTCTAATGTACACTTTCAGTTATCTTTTCTTTTTAAAGGTTTTATTGGCTCTAGTGGCCTTTATTTGAAAGTAGTTCGACAGGAAAGAGGGCAGTCAGAGAGGGGAAGACATGCAGCAAATGTCACCAGGCTGGGAATTGAACTCGCGACTACCGCCACGAGGACCAACGCCTCAATACGTGGGTCATGCTTTGCCCTTGTGTCACCACAGCTTACTTTCAGTTATCTTTTTATGCTTAAGTAACTGCACGGTTTACAACTGCAGAGTTTAAAAAAAACACTTAAAATATGGAACAATAATAATTTTTTTAAATCACTACAGAATGCCTCTGAATTTGGACAGACTCTCATTCAAGTTGAAAGCTACACAAGCTAACTATTCCTCAAGCTACAGACACACATAGACTATTTTCACATAATAGGTTTCATGCTCAATTACCAATTATGTTTTCGCCTGGATGTACAAGCTATTCATTAAATGCGACCACAATCAGACTTATTTGTGAATGACTTGTGACCCCAAAGCAACCCTGATGTGCAGCTAAAAAACATGAAGTTGAAAGCTACACAAGCTAATGTCGACCTGTGGACAAGTGAAGAATTATTCAAGCTAACATCCCAAAATAAGCTAACTGCTATTCATAATCCATCCTACACCATTTAATTCCATTATATCACCAAGCTTAAAGCTAATCAATCTAACTGTAGCTAAGCATAACTATGAAATGCTACTAACATTTCATTATTAATAGAAAAAGAGGCTGATGACAACAATTATTCATGCTTATAGCTAAGCTAAAAGGTTATCAAGCTAACTGCTAATTAAAATCAACAGTTAATAAATCAAAACTATTGGGCTAACTGCCACAGTTATTCGTGACAATTGCCCATCGTCTCTTACAAAACCAAAACAGATTTTTAAAAAAGTTTTTAATCAAAATCTGAAAAAATAACTAGCTTCAGACTATGCTTCCTATCTTTCTGCATTTTCCATATTTAGAGAAAATATCACCTCATTCTACAAAAGTATTTTTTTCCAAACTTGTAAGAGGGAATTAATTTTGTACTAAAATTGTTTAATTTTGTCAGCCTTTGTAAAGTATTTTATGAAGTACACATTTAGAAAATAGTTTTTTGCGGCTATAGGTGAGTTTTATTTTGTAGCAATAGGTCTTTGAATAGAAAACATATGCTGACTCCTGGGGCATTCCTTACATCCTGTGTATTGAAAATTTGTGCCATAAATCCAAAAACTTGGGGGAAAAATCTTTATGGGTATTTTTGTCCTTCTGGGCTTGGCCAATATTTTACACCCATTCAGAGCCCATAAATATTTGGGCTGAAAGCAGCTATTGATTTTTAGTTATTGGACTTGGCCACTAAACCCTCAAGATCCTAATCCAAATGAGTATCTTTGGGATATTGTGGACAAACATTTCCATTTCATTAGGTTCTTTATAATTTCTAGGGACTTAATGTTCTGCTGCCGACTGCCAGAAACAGCATAACTGCAAACCGTGACAAGTTACAGCTGTTTCAATGGTGAAAAAATGAAACTTGCTTCATTTCCCAAAAAAAGTACCAAGCATTATGTTTTAAATGTGGATGTAAAACCTCAAACCAAACAGGCAGCTTGAATGTTTTGACATCTGTATCTCAGTGTAAATGATCGCACAGAGCGTCAATTAGCATAATAAACCAATTACATCAAATGTTACAGATCGAAACGTCGTTATTGTGCCAATCTTCTCGTTTTATTCTGCAAATGAGATTCTCTTCACTGTAATGATGCTGTGTGAAAGGACAACAAAACTTCTGACTCTTTTTATTGAGTCTATTGTTCCTCATTTTTCTTTTGCTGACAGTTTTCTGCTTCTTGTCACTTTTTCTCCCTCCTTCTTACTATCTTAGTGACACAGGAAGTACCTTTCCTTTGAATGAAGTGACAGCTTCTGCTTTTGTTCAGGCAGATTTAGTTCTAATCCATTATCCTGAAAGCTTCAAACTCTAACTTGATGGGTGGAGGGTGGCAGGAACCTTGGAAACTTTTTTTCTTCATTATATGTTGACAGTTTGCTTCTGATGAAGTGTATGAATAAACTGCATTGTAGATTACAAGACAAAGTCCAATTCTTCAGTTTAGCCACAATTATACAATAGCGTGTGGTTAATCAGTTCCCATTCTGGGAATTCATCTTAAATGAATGCAAATATTAAAGAGAAGACTGTATTTCCAAACAGTTACGCCGACCATCAGAGGCGGATAATTAATGTGCGAATTACACAGATAATTAGACTAATTAACCTCCTTTAACCCCGGCAGCGATCATAACGTCCATCAATATAAATTAATGGTGAGAACAGCTTAAAATCCACAAACTAGAAGTTTAAATTATAGTAAAAACCCCAACAATGAATCTATATTTACAGTAACTATGCACAAAGACCGCGCAGTGTAAACAAACCCTGAATAAAATGTGGTGTTGTGAAGTTTCTTTTAGAGGTATACATCAGTTTTAAATATCCAGTTGTGTTTTTTTGTTGTTTTTTTTGTTCTTGTTGTAGAACAGTGAGGTTCATGTCGTCTACCTGTTAGTCATGTTCAGCCTCTGGCTTTAGGTGCTTCACTGTGAACTTTAGACCCTCATAGGTTCATTAAGGCAGAAGTTCTTCAGCAACGACCTTTGTGACCCTTCTTTTCATTAATAAGGGTATTTGTCCCGAGACCTTAGAGCGAACTTTGGAAATGTCGCAAAAAAGAAAATGTGAATTAGACATGTTTCCGTTTACTGATTTCAACATAGAATACATGTCATGCAGTCACACATCAAGCAGTGTGACCAGGATGAAAATTATGCTTTAATTGGTTTCATACAATATTCTAACTTTCAGTGAAATAAAATCTGTATTGGCTCTAAGACTCACAAATGAATAGATATCACGTTTTGCAATAATTTCATTCAAATAAATGGCAGTTGTTTTAGTGGTTTGATCATGTAGAGAAGATCTAGCTGTGATTGGCAGATTTTACCACCTCCGAGTCGTGTTAGCAGGTAGTTAAGCACCATGTTTCTGTGTCCAGCAGCTCACTGCAGCGCTCCAAATGTGGTAATCTGACATTCACACCTACTTCAGAGTGACTGCGTAGGCACTGCAGCCGGTGAATAAACAACCTCTCTTTAAAACTCTGTTCATTCGCTCCTATCAGGTGGAGGCGTGGATGCCCTACCATCCTCCCCTTTTCTGAAACTGTTCCACCATCGTGTCTCTTTTTCTTTTTACGCTTGGCTTACCACCTTTGAGTGCCGCCAGTCTCAACAAAAATGAATATGTTTGTGTTCTTACAGAGAAGCAGGATGGAAGGAAAAGTTCATTGCAGGTGTTGATGTTTTCTTGGATGAAGATCATGAAAATACCACAGCAGTTTTAACACTTCACAGCAGAAACCAAGTGTTTTTGTCTAGTTTCTAGTGCAAATAGCTTAAAATACTTAAAATGAGACAAAACTAACTTAAAAATAACTTTTCATCAACATATAAGAGCTTGTTTTAGGTAGCTTAATATTGATTTTAAAAAATATGTACTAGTTCCACTGGTAGATTATTTTACTTAGAATAAGACATTTTGCCCATTTTAATGGTGAAAAGTTTCATCAATATTAAGGAATTATCCACTTAAAACAAGTTGTTATAGCTAGTGGAAAAGTTACTTGTAAGTTATTTAACTTTTATTTTAAGTGCACTAAGACATCTGTACTAGAAACTAGACCAGAAATATTTGGTAAGAGTTTGCGTTTTGCCATTCTCCCCTTTTCTGAAACTGTTCCACCATCTTGTCTCTTTTTATGCTTGCCTTCCCACCTTTGAGTGCCTCCAGTCTCAACAAACATGGATAAGTCTGTGTTCTTACACAGAAGCAGGAAGGAAGAAAAATTCATTGCAGATGTTTTTAATGTTTTCTTGGACGGAGATGATAAAAATCCCACATCAATCTGTTTTTACAGTATATGCCTGTTCTTTTTCGCCTTTGCACTCAGTTTGAGGAATTCTTGGATCATTTAGGTCTTCATTTTGCTGCTGTTAGCAGGTGGAGCATATGAGGCAGTAAGGCTATTTTGTCTGCAGATGTGATGAGATGGAAGCGGGAAGGATATGAGTGAGTTTGACAGGAGCCAGACTGTGGTGACTGGATGACTGCAGCTCTAGACGGTGTTCCTGGTCTGCAGTGTCAGTATCTATCAGAAGTGGTCCAAGGAGGGAACTGACAATGTTGTCAAGGGTGGACTAAGGCTTGCTGATCCACACGAGGAGTGAAAGCTGGCCCACACTGCAAAAACATAAAATCTTACAAAGTATTTTTGGTCTATTTTCTTGTCCAAATATGTTTTTACCCTTGAAATAAGCCAAATCTAACTTTCAAATAACTTTTCAGCAAGCCACAGGAGCTTGTTTTATGTGAAAAAACTTCTTAATATTGATTTAAAAACACTATTTCCACTGGCACATTATTTCACTTATAACACAGGAAAATGTGTTGTTTCAAGTGAAATAATCTGCCATGGGAAGTCATACTTTTTAATTAGAAATAAGGAATTGTATACTACAAACACGATTCTATGTCTTACTGAAAGGTTACTTTTCAGTTGGTTTTGTCTTATTTAAAGTGTAACAAGATATCTGAACTAGAAACTACAAAATTATTTGGTAAGATTTTGTGTTTTTGCAGTTCATGTAGTTTAAAAGTCTCAATACTGGGTATGTAAGTACGCACTCTGAACTGAGCAATGGAAGAAGGTGAAGTTTTATTTAAACTACCTCCTGGTTTTCTGTCACTGGAAGCCATTTCCACATTTTTAGTGTTTTCATTGTATTTTTTGCCCTTCTATTTGTTTTTAGCTTTTTTGTGGCTATTCATCAACATGGAAAACATCTTCAACACACATGGAAACAAAATAGTTTATAGGTAGAAACCGGAAGTAGGCTGATGCAAAATGAGGTTAAGTGCTAGCAAAGAGTTTGGTTTGTCTCCAAAGAATTTCATTCACAAGTTTTAGATAAATGAAGCCTTATGTAGTCATTGCTTCCTATTTTTTTTAAATGAAGGTGTTTTAAAATGAACACATGCACACAAGAAACAATGTTGATGGCATTGCATGTGTAGTCGTGCCCAGCCTTTTGTCAGGAGGGGAGAGTGTTTAACAAATGACTGCCAACCCAGGGACACAGGGGCCAGGACCTCTGCTGGAGAGTCGGCCAACAATAAATCTCAAAAATCAATATGACAGGGCTTGGGGTAATCAGTATCAATGATTCTAAACTGGGATAAGTCCCTCGAGGAGAAGAATGATAAAACTGGTTGAGCTTGGAGCCTGAAAAACATCCTGAGGATATGAAGGATGGAAAAGAGGAAGAAAATGAGGAGAAAGTGGGGATTGAGGGAGGGGATTATTGATGATTTTTACCCAGAAGGCACTGCAGCAATGTTAGAATCCCTGTTTTGTCTTCTGTCACTTTTGCACTTTTCACTTTGCCCATCATATATTTTATTCTCCATCCTACAACTGCCCTCTTCACTGTTACCCACTTGAATTCCTAAAGATTTTTAGTTTTTGCTTTCTGTATAGTGTCTTCAAAACCTAAAACTTTAAACTTTTGACCATTTTCATTGCACTATCCCAATTTTTACACTGCTTATTGTTTTGGAAAAAGACTATAACCAATCACTGTCAGGTGAAATCACTCAATCAGGTTTATTAATATATTGTGCACAATACAGGGAGCTTGTAGGACAATCAATAGCAAAACCAAACTAATATTTCCTTTAACATGTCTCTTCTGCACAACCTGCCATTTGTAAGGCAAATTAAAATCTAATTTCTCACTGCAATTTTTCAGAGGCAACCTCCGATAAAGATGAGTAAACTCTGCTGTTTTAAAGCTACAGACATTCCTCCATTGTGTACCACATGGTGATGATGTCATTTCCATGACTGTGTTTGTGACTCTGTTTATTTGTTTGGACTGGTCAAATAAACAGAACATGCAATCAATGGAATGGAAATACAGAAAATATTAGTGGTTTTAAAACTTTTTAAAATTGCTTTTAATGGTCTCTCAAGGCCAAACTATAAACAAGTAAGAAAACTATATGGGTTTTTGAGACCAAACTTTAAAAACTCTGTTACTAAAGATGACCTTTAGTCTCTAAAAGTAATACTAAAAAATAAAAACATATCTTTGAATTATATGAAGGAGGAAGTTAATAATAAACAGGGCTTGTAACCAGTGAAAAAAAATTGATAGCTTGCTAACCAGATGGCCTGTTGGCGTTTTAGACAGTCTTGTGTTACTTGGAGATGTTTGCTGATTTCATGCGCAGTAGCTGCTACTCTGCCCTTTACTGAAGACGGTATTTAATCCAGCACCTCTCCTGGCACTGGATGGAAATCCGTTAAAAGCTACTCTGTCATGCTGGAAACAGCTGGGCTCCTCCGTGGGTAAATGTCAACAAATAACATTCTGTCAGCGTTTTATACATGTATCTGCCTGGGAGTATCCTCCTCTTCCTCTGACTTGGCTGCATCGTTTCTGGCTTCTCCCTCCTGATGAATTTTTCGCCCAGATAACTCACTAATACCATCATGCTTTCTGCATCTAGTACACTGCCAAATAATGTCTTTTCTTGCCATTTTATTCCCTCCAGATAAATGTCATGAATCTGCATTTACATGACTCAAAGAGATGCACAGCTTTAAGTGACGGTGGAGGGTGAAGATACACAATTTGTCTTTTGTCCTTTCAACTTGATTTCAAATATGTATTTCTCTGCTTTTTTACGTCTGAAAGGTCAATAGTTAGGATTCCAATCTTTTTATGTTCTTTACTGGATATCAGCCTCTTCCGCTAAAGTCCTGAACTTTTCTTGAGTATAAGAATAACAAAACTTTAAGGATGAAATTCAAAAGAGAGCCTGTATTACATTTAATATGCAAGAAATTATGCAGACATGAGATGTTGATCTGTATCTCTTTTGGACCAGAACAACAGAGGATATTTGTTTCCAGTTCAAAGGGCTTCAGGATATTTGATGTTTTCATGCCTTTGAGAGAAATGAAGCCCCACATGAGGAAGAAACAATATTCAAAAGAAACTGTTATTCTTCAAGTCATTTGTTTTGAAATACTGGTCAAAAGATAAATCTATGAGAAAATATTTCACTTATTGTTTTAATCAGAGAAATAATAATAATAATAATAATAAAAACATGTTTGTTCATTGTTTTTCCAGATTTTTAATTTGTAATTTTTTTTTTTTTTTTCAAATTTGTACCAAGTGTGGTGCAGACAGTGTTAGTAGTTAATTGTTTGTTTAGGATACAAATGCACCTCAAAGCTATGTACAAAAGCAAAAGAGATCAAACATGGGCTTTCCATCTCTTCTAAACTTTACATATGATGGAAAGAAAAATTGCATCCAAACTATTTGGACTATTTTTGAGTTATTTTCACTGGGTAATAAATACTTTTGAAATATCAGATAGTTTTGATTGTGTCTTTTTCATGTTGGTAGTCTGGTTACATAATGGTCGTTTTTATGTGCAGTTCCATCTTAATCTTACATAAACCTTACACAAACATGAACACAGTAATCGAGTTTTAACTTTACACTGTATATCCCATTTAATATACGCCTATTCTAGTACTGGTCTAGACTACAGGTGTCAAACTCTAGTCCTGGAGGACCACTGCCCTGCAACTTTTAGATGTGCCTCTGCTGCACCACACCTGAATAGAATAATTAGGTCATTAGCAAGGCTCTGGAGAACTTTATACACAAGAAGGAGGTAATTATTCCATTTCATTCCACTGTTTTGTACCTGTGGCATATCTAAAAACTGCAGGACAGCGGCCCTTGAGAACTGGAGTTTGACACCCCTAATCTAGACTTACTTAGTTTTACTTTTAGTGGTCCTCGCTAAGAACATCACATCTGCTTGTTTTAGCCAATCCATCCATCTGGTTTGAAAAGATCTGGGTAGGATTGTTGGTTTGTTTGCAGGTGTTGTAGGTGTGAAGGGCTTGGATTGTAGTAAAGTAGGAAGCAGCCTGGATGGTTCAGCAGAGATGAGGATGGAGTCCTTTCTCTGGATCAGAGGTTTTTCTGCATGAAGCAGAGAGGTTTTTAAACTTCTTTGAATCATTACCTGAATTTGATGCA